TTCATCCATCATCTGATAATAAATATTTGCTGATAGAATGTTATGTCTAATAAGTGTATTTCATCCATCACCTGATAATAAATATTATACACTTATTAGACAGAACATTCTATCAGCTTCATCCATCATCTGATAATAAATATGTTCTGTCTAATAAGTGTATAATTAGATTACCTGTTGGGACTAATAATAGTAACTGATGTTCTACAGATGATATCCTTAGATTACCTGTTGGGACTAATAATAGTAACTGATGTTCTGCAGATGATATCCTTAGATTACCTGTTGGGACTAATAATGTTAACTGATGTTCTGTGTCTAATAAGTGTATAATATTTATTATCAGGTGATGGATGAAGCTGATAGAAGGATATCATCTGTAGAACATCAGTTACTATTATTAGTCCCAACACGTAATCTAAGGATATTAGAGCTATTAAGAAACACAAACTAGACAAGTCGTTCAATTTTCTGTTAATACTTCCTCCCCTAAAAAGCTTACCAAATATTTTACAGCTTTAAGATTAAAGCCTTTTGTGTTCTCTAGGTGGTCAACCAACCTTCCAGGAGTTGCTGAAATTTTAACAGAACAATAAATTATAAATATATTAACAGTGTGTATAATTTTATCTGAAACAATAACCTTCTATTTGACTTTTTTCTGTATATCTAAATTAGTTGAAAAATATGAATAAGACTGAAGTATTTGTAACATCAATACTTTGTAATGTTTGGTTTAAAATTACTAACTTAAAGAAATTACTTACCAACTATAACATGTGGCTTCTTAGCTAACATTAGAGACTGTGTCATCATATCAATACCTCCAACAATAACAGCTGTGAAATATAAAAAATTGTACATACTGATATAAAGTAATTATGTTTTTTGTTCACAATTCTTAGTGGTCAATTCCTCCACAAACTTTAAAAAATATTTCTAGAATAGAAAACTAAAAAAATTAATTAATATGCCGAGAAACCTTTCAAAGTTACTATTTTATATTATCAAAATTAAAAACAGAACACTGATCTACAAATACTTATTCGTGAAAATATTGTTGCAGTATTGCAATACAATACAATACAATACAGTTGGTTTCATGAAACGACTACATCACTCTGAACTATGGGTAGAAACAGTTGGTTTCATGAAATGACTACATCACTCTTGAACTGTGGGTAGAAACAGTTGGTTTCATGAAATGACTACATGACTGAACTATGGGTAGAAACAGTTGGTTTCATGAAATGACTACATGACTCTTGAGCTGTGGGTAGAAACAGTTGGTTTCATGAAATGACTACATGACTGAACTATGGTAGAAGCAGTTGGTTTTATGAAATGACTACATGACTCTGAACTATGGGTAGAAACAGTTGGTTACATGAAATGACTACATGACTCTGAACTATGGGTAGAAACAGTTGGTTACATGAAATGACTACATGACTCTGAACTATGGGTAGAAACAGTTGGTTTCATGAAATGACTACATGACTGAATTG